ACTTCATTTAAAAATTAAAATGAAGAATAAATCAGTCAAGAATTGGATCTTTTACTGCATAACAACCAAATGTGTCATAACCTTTGATGAGACTTTGCAAAATCTTCTAAAAATCCAAGTTCACAGGGTTTCCTAGTCTGCTGTTAATTTATCTGTACTAATTTAGTATCCCTATGATAACTAAAGTAGTTTTTTTAATAATAAATATACTAAACAGTTTCCCAGGATTACTGTTAACATTTGCTGTAGTTAAGAACTGGAAAAAAGAGACCCAAAGTACACAAGCAGTAAATTATCGCCCGCACAACCAGGAAGTTCAGCATCTTAATTGAGAAAATTGAATTGTCAGCTGTGAACTTTTGTACCATGAGATTATTTAGCATTCTTTATCCCAACGACTCCTATTGCAATAGGTCTCTGAGAGCCGGTTTAGAAGAGAACTCTTAAGGAGGAGGAGAGAGTATGAAAATTTGTTTGTGAGAGCAAGTGAGGCAGGAATTAAGACTAAAAAAATGAAAAGGTAAAGTCTAATTAGCTGTTCTGAAACAAGACCAACACTGAAACAGCTGCAAATACAAACTGACTCCATACGGAAACCCTGAAAATATTAGTCCTAACCTACTCCATTATCAATTAAGCAACAGATACATCCACTTCACCGAACTCCAAAGTGTTATTTATTGATTTTATTTTTGATATCCTAAGTACAGTAACAGAAAATTTTCCATTTATACATCCCTAGCACAGAGGCTGGTATCAGTCTTTATTATACAAGGACACTATTGAGTTATAAATCATTGTTTTGAGTTCTAATATTTTTATGACAAAGCAACCCTATACTACTCAGTGAATGTAAGTTAGGAATCATCATTGATATTTAATAATCAAGTAGTATTTCACTGAATTATTAAAAGACTTCAACTACTGAGGAACACAAATTGTAGGTTTCAAGTTAGAACTAACAGTTGGAATAAAAATCTGCATTAAAAGCACCTTCATCTAATTCAGTATGGCAGTTGTTACCTTAAAGTGCTCAATTGGCTTCTCCAACATTTTTTTTATTTTGATTTGTCAATTGCTTATAAGATAATATGTATAAGTATATACATAGTTATGAATACATGAAATGGGTACATATAAGAAAAATAAAAGAAACAATAGGACAAGGACGGTAAGCACGTTGGTGCACTGTCAGACCAAACACACACACATGCACAAAACACTGAACATTTGCAAGTAACTTCAAACTATATAACTTGTCTTTCCTCTATTATAAGATGCATTGCCTAATAAACCCCACTCTTTTTGAGAACAGACAATCCACATTGGGACTCAACTCTTCCACAAAACTAGGCCCCAGGCAACTTGATCTTTTAGCTTTAATTCCTTAACTATAAAAAGGAAATTACAATGTTATCGGGTTGTTCATCTTCATAAGATAAAGGCTGCACCATATTTTAAGCTAAAGGTACAGCATATTAAAATATTAAAACTATGCTAAAACCTGCACTATTTTTTTCCGTTTATACGCCTTAGCACAGAGATAGTATCAGTCTTTGGACTACAGCTAGTAATTGGACTATAGGCAAAAAATCCAAATTATATAAATATATTGCTAATGGTGCTTTATTTATTCCAAGACAAGTCAAGGATAAATTATACTATTTATAAATATGCCAATAGCATGCATGCATTTAACATATATAAAAGCAGATATTTCTAGACTAAAGTAATAGATCTAATTCTATGGAGGAGAAATAGAAATGAAAGAATATATAAGATTAATATATTGTTGTATGACTAAAATTACATTCTATGGTATTTACTTTCCAGTATGTACTTGCAGAACTATTCTGTTAGACTTAGTTATAAATTATTACATTGCATGCAATCTAAGAAAAAGTACTTCATATAAATATCAATTTTGAATTGGCAACTCTATGATTATTCATCATTTTAAAAAGATCAGGATATCACCGTTACAAATAATGGTCTTAACAAAGGTTAAAATACGCACAAAAGCAGCACAATCTTTTCTTAATGATTAACTAATAAAACAATGAGAGTGAAAAATGCTCCATTATCACTACAAGCCACCAAACAGAAATATTTTTAGAGGTTCATCAATGCTTATAAAGCAGCATAAAAATCCTAACAAAAAGTTAAAATGATTTGAATATTTATCCAATATTACAAATACGATTCTTGAACAATGAAAAATCTCCAAGTGACAATAATTCAGCAATGGGAGAATAATTTACAGCTATGTTCATATATTTTTTTGACCGTATGTCAAAAAACAAAAGACAAATTTTAAAAACCTTCCAGAATTGTTCCCATGACATTATATTCCCTTATTCTAAAATGACTGGATGAGTAACTGAACTGCTATACTTGCTCTAATAACACAAGAATTGAAACTACAACACTTAATAGAAAAAAAAACTTTTTTTTTGTTAAACACAAAGTAACATCCTTTGGCTACAAGGGGGAGTACTTTTTTATAGTAGGGGGTATTTATATAAACAAATTTGGCATCTATACAACAAAGGGCTCATTCTCATGTCATCTTAACTACAGTATTAATATATATTGGTTTAAAAAAATATCTATGTCCCCCATGATTCTGTCTTCCTTTCATTTCCAGGCCACAGATGTGGTAACTTAAAATTATACTTAATAATTCCAATTTTAAAGTTGTGCTTTCTGTTGTGCTTTCTTCCTTTTCTCAGCTCAATTTTTTGCTATGGGCACACATGGAAAACTTCAGTGACCATGTGCTTGGATAATTTTGTTAAGCTAAGATCCACCCAGTTGTTATGAGTTACCTAAGCCTGCTGTAACCTTGCCCTTTTCCTTTATCCTGACTCTTAATGCTATTTTGGCTTGGAAAAAGACTGGACACCTGACTTCTGTAGCGTCCGTACATGTGACAGATTCTTTCCAAACATTTGTGGGATCTCACACAAGATCCTTATATACTCTAATGTAATCCTTTTTAAAAAAACATTAGACCTCTGTTTACAAAACAGAACTTGCATTCCCTTTGAGAGAACCAGCTTTGTGGTTGTTTTTATAACCACAACTGTCATATGGGGAGGGTTGAAAGAGTGGAAATGTTTGGCAGCCAGCCCCTTCTGAGTTCCAGGATCCTCACATCAGAAGGCAAAAAGAACATGGAAGCATTGTGATACCAACCTGCCGCATCATTCTTTTAGCTTACTATTATTGCATCAGATCTTTCCCTTATTCGCTCTGGGATAGGAAGCCCTTTTTTCACCATTGCTTGGAACCAAGCCCAAACATGCAATCACAAATAGATTGGGTTTACCAAGAGGAAGGAGATTGCTGCATATTCATGTTTTCATTGGCTATTCCTATCTTCTCTTCTGTCCATTTTCAATTGCTGGAAATGCTCAATTTACAAAATCACCACAACACCCTTATACAGGGCATGTGTGAAAACTTGTATCTGTTCTCATGATACTTTTTTTTTTCATCTCAATTTGTCCTTTTCACACAATTCTCACATTTTACAACCTTCTCGGACAATTGCCCCAGTTCCTTCTTATGCGGCTTATCATCTTTTCCCCAGCGGTACTCATTCTTTCATTCTTATGCCTCCATCTGCCCTGTCTCCAATCTCTTGGCTTGATCTTTCAGGAGCCCATCTTTAGAAACTGTCTGATAACAAGCCCCAGGCAAGAAGAGAGGTTGTTCTGAGCCAGGAGCACCAGAAGAATTCCCTCCTGCTTTGCTGTGAGCCGTTCCCTCCGCACCTGTGACCTGCTAGCTAGGCTATTTTTGGACACAGGTGTAGTGTGCTCTTTTCAAGTCTTACCTTTCGAATTGGGTTGACTGAAACTTTACACAGGCTCAAAATACTAGGACCTGGTAGTTGGGCAACTTTAATAGGTGCAAAACTCACCGTTTAAAGCCCCCACCTGTACTTGGGACTATCCTGCTCCTCTCCCTATTATTAAGGAAATTGTTCGGCGATTGTTTTTCTCCACAGGCGAGGTGACACTTGATAAAACAGGAAATGAAGCAACAGGAATCCACCAATTGGTTTTCTTAACTTATTCTACATTAAAATGGACAGGACAGTCCCCATTCAGGAGGCCCCACCTGCCCCTGAAGCAAAATCAGGAATGACCATCGGAGCCACCAATTCCCTGCCGGCACAAGATTTCTGCCGACTCAAGGACCCGGGATGCATTTTAACGCGGCCAGATATCTAGCCTTCCCCCAAATGCCAAGCTCTCTCGATGTCCTGTGACCGGATCTAAGGCATAGGAAGACACTTCGTTGTTCCATGAGCCGGGCCTTTTATTTATCTTTTTGGATACTCTGGGTCGCGCAGACGACCGATACCGGCCCTCGTTGAGCAAAGGGCTCGGGCTAGGGAGCGGGAGAGGCAGCTGGGTGGTCCCGCATTGAGCCCAAGGTGACCCGGAGACCCGAGGGAGGGCTTCGAGGCGAGTGATGGTCACGACCGGGAGAAATCACAGCGCCACCCAGCTCAATCCGGCCCCTCCGGATCGTCCGAGTTGGCGACAACGCGGAAGGGCTCGTTTGCCTCGCTCATGCCGGAACAAATGAAAGCTATTCAAGTCACGAAGGAAAAGAAATTCTCCCGGTCACAATGCCAAAGGCGAAGGTCAGCGCTCTGCATCTGGCGACGTTGCCGCCGCTAATTGTTTTTGAATCGGTACTCACAGCCCGTCTCCTTCTTGATCTCCTCGATCTCCTCGTCCCTAAGCAGCGTAGACGCCCGAGAGCCCATGGCAGCCGCTTCGCCAACCGTCAAAGGAAAGCTCCAGTCGCTTGGCCTAGAGCCGGCGCCGGAACCAATCAGCTGCGCGGACGTCGCGCGAGCTCCCGGCGATGCAACTGACAGGAACGCGCGACGCCCCCTCCGCTCCTCTTTATCATCCTGAGCTGCCCCGCCCCCTTGCCACCCCGCCCCGCCCCTCTATCGTTGCTTCTGCGCAGAGGGAGACGGACGGTGGCGTTTCGGGCCGTTGTTAGCAAGTCTCACACCTTCCATCTCCCTTCTGGCGTCATCGCGCGGGCGATTCTCTCACCCTTGTCCCCGAAAACTACGGAATGCGGAGCACAGCGCCGGTTATACTTCCCTCATGTGTTAGCTGAGGTCAAATTGGCTTTGACCCGTTTGAACGATTATATTGGGGGTTTTCCTTGGCTCCTAACGTGGTGACATGCGGTTGCTGTTGTTTTTTTTATTACTGTTCCCTCCTCCTTACAGTACAGCGTCTAGTATCGTGAGGATTGTATTTGGGGGGCCTTAAAGCATTTTTATGGTTGCCTGCTTTACATTTGCTGCCCGCAAATGCAGTGTATCTCAACCGCTGAGATGCAGAAATCCTGAGAGCTGTGGCTTGTCCACATATATCCACATTGTCTCCACAATGGCTTGAGATCTGATTAATGGATGGAGGAGTCTTGGGCGTGAAGAAGAAAAAAATCATAAATGGTGGTGTCATTTATGTCCTAGAACTTGCTTTCCCCCCAAAAAAGCAGGCTAACAGTTTTCCTACAAAGGATTTCCTAATCCTTATGTATTTAAGGGGAAATTCTTTCAGTTTTAATAAGGAGTGGCTATACTTGTCTTGATAACCAGTGCTTCACCCCACCCCCAAGTCTTTCTAGATTCATCTGAGTGAGAAGCAGCTCTTTCAAACCAGTTTCCAGAAGAATGTTAGAAAAGTCTTAGCTCCTATGTAGAGGAAATAGAAGCTGTTACTATTTTGACTAGGTTAGGTCACTGAGCACTTAACGCTGAAAGGTGACTGTAATCGTAGCAGTCGCAAACATAATAGAAGATGGGAATAGGCAATATGCAATAGGCAATATGTTGGCCCCTGAAATGCCAACATCAGATTAGTGTGTTTAATTTAGAAAGGCATACAGAAGTGGTAGGGAGAATTCAAAAAATAAATATGGGTCTTTGGCAGTCTTTATTGAGAGCCAGCTGGGTGTAGTACTTAAGACATGTTGGAAGAAATATTCATCTGGTTCTGTTCCAAGCCGGGGGGAAAAAGCCCTGGAAACGTGGAGGCTGGTTTGGAAAGATGGTTTGATTGATGAAGCAGAACCACCAAGCACATGGTTCTGGCTAGCTGACCACGTGGAGTTGCGAGTGAGGGCTATTTATACCTTCTCCTGGGCTTTGAACTTGAGCTTCCTGTTCCTGTGCAATAACTTGTCTCGGCTGCTGTCAGACACCCATGGAGCTATGCAGGGGTCATAGCGGAGGTTGTCTGATCTCCCAGGTTTGGTTGAAACTTGCTGGGTGATGTAATGTCCTTAGAAGATTGCAATGCAATGGGCTCTGTGTCTTCTGCTAAATGGTCCTATTATGCCTTGAAGGGCCATGTCTTAATCCCTTCACCCTGGAGCTGAAGGTCTTTTGCTGGCCCAATCTTTCTCAATGGGCACAAAAATCTGCTGGGGGGGAGAGAGATTGAGTCTGCTTTCTGTCTTTTAAGAAACACATGTTTCTCCATTTCTCATTTAGGGAAATATATTCTGCCTTTTTAATATTCCTCAAAATATTTCATTCTAGGAGGGGGAGGGGGAACTTTCTACAGGCATCAGCTGGGCCAGCCTTTCTCTCTTAGTCTTAGGAAAAAGGTGAAGATTTTGGAATTTTTTCCAAGCAAACTGTGGGGAGTTGACACATATTTACTACAATGATGTCATTTGGCCCCAGCAGTATTTCTTAGAAGTGCCTTTTAGCACAGGTAGTTCTCAACTTGCAACAGTTTGTTTAATGACCGCTCGACATTACAACAGCACTGAAAAACATAACTTATGGCCATTTTTCACACTTTCGATTGTTGCGGCATCCCTATCATGATCTTGACAACCGACTCATATTTATGATGGCTGTAGTGTCACAGTGTCATGCAATCATCTTTTATGACCAAAGTCAGTGGGGAAACCAAAATCACTCAACCGTGTTATTAACTTAACAACTGCAGTGACTCAACTTAACAACTGTGGTTTAGATAGGTTGTATAATGGGGCAAAACTGACTTAAGTCTCTTGCTTAGCAACAGAAATTCTGGGTTCAATTGTGGCCATAAATCAAGGACTACCTGTGCCATTTTTTTTTTCCTTTTGAAGCAGAATGTGGGCAGACTACATTCATTCATCTGGTAGAGTATTTTAGTTTGAGCTCTGGCCTGGTAGCAGGAAAACTGGTAGAGGTTTGTGTGGCTTAAGTATTTGGAAGCACTAAGGCTGGGTTGAAGACAATTTACCATAATGGGTAGGAAAAGTAGAACAAATGTGATCAAAAATGAAACCCACATCATTTAGGAGGGAAAATGAATAAGATAGCAATAAAGAAAATCAAAACATCTGTTTTCCTTGGGCTGTTGCTAGATGATATGAATGTATGGCAAGGTTTGTATATTACATTAAGTCTTAAGTGATTTGTGGAATATACTACAAGTAACTGAGTTCTGAAGATGGTAAGCAATAAATCCTGTTTTATGAACTACATGCTAAAACCAAAGTGATATTTCAGTGTAGTGTGTGTGTATGAGAATGAGTTGAAAAGATCAACTCAACTCTGTAGCTTTTAAGTGTTGAGGATGTGAATCTCTGAAAAGAAAGATTTTGAATGAACACCATAAACTGTTGGGTTCTTGGTATTCTCTAAATTAGGTTGTTTTCTTGCAGATTTTTTTAGCAAGTTAGGTAACATCAGAGCATGGGAAAGTAAGGTTTGCTGATAAACTACTATATACAGTATGGCAGTTTTGCAAGGCTTCGGCGGCGGCAGGAATTCGCAATCCTCCGCGATTCCTGCAGCACTCGCTGCCGAGGTGCCTCCGATCCTGATGGATCTGGGGGATATGGTTGCCCCGTAGAGGCAGCCAAAGAGAGAGGGGATCCGAATTGGCGTTTGGGGGTATCGCAAACCCCCTACTCAGCCAGCAAAACCCCTTTTTCCCAAGGTGGTGGAGCAGCGGTCAGCAATGGTCGCCACAAAGAAGCCTGCAGCCGGGTAAGATTCGTGCAGGAGGAAATAGGAGAAAGTGAAAGTTCTGGCTGAACTGGGATAACAAGAAACTTCTAAACACCCTGGAATCTAATCGTTTGAAGGATACATTGTCTCCCAAAGAAGACTGTAAAAGCAGCGAAACAAAACTGGAAAGGGAAAGTTATTTTCTTTCACCCTCCCTTCCCACAGAAACAGCAGATGGCAATCTGGAAAACCTGCTTGGGCATAGAAGGTAATCTAACTTGAAATTTAAAGCCAAGGGGATAAAGGATTTCTGGACATTGGAACTAAAAACCTAAAATTCTTTTTATTTGCTATAAGTGGAAGGGAAGAGGTAAAGACTTATTTTAAGATTGTACTGAAGGAGACTGCTTTCAGTTTATAAGATCAGAAATAAAAGATATTACGACTTCTAGAAGACTACTTTGGAACTGTGTATTTCAGTTCTACCCTAGGAAGAGAAAATATAGAAAGAAGAAAGTGCTAAATGAAACTGTTTGTTTTGATTTGGTCTGCTTTGTGACTTTGGGATTTTTGTGAACTACTTCTTGAAAGATTAAAGACATTTGGGTTGTTTTTTAAAAAATGGCATTATCTTTTGAAGAATTACAAATAGAATTTCAAAAATTGAAAGAAGAGGAACAAGAAGGCAAGGGCTCTTCTGGATCTATTTTCTACTTTTTAGAAATGGCGATTCCTACCTATCAAGAAATACAACAACGACAGGAAGGCTGGGATGAAGAGGAAGAAGCCATCTTTAATGGACAAGTACTCTTAGTGGAGGAAGAAAAGTGAAAGGGGGGCAAGGAAATGGTGAATTCAGGACTTAAAAAAGCAACCAAGAAAAAGAAAAATAAGATGAAAAATCGATATGATGTCAGAAAGCAACAGAAAAGAGAAATACAACAGAGAGGGAAGACTAAGAGAGTGAAGCTTGAGGGGGGGTCAAAAAGCTAGAATTGATAAGAAAGGAAGGGAAAAAGGAAAGAAGTCATGAAGGTTTTAAACAAGATGTTAAAAAACAGTTTTTTTTTCAGAGATAAGGGGTAAGATATAATTTTATAAAAATGATTCTGCAAAAGTACGTAAGATTGTATTGTAGATATTAGTATTTAAAATTGAGTTAGAAAATTAAAATATTACATGAGTTAATAATGCATTAAAGGGAAGCTATGAAAATGTTTAAGATTTAATAACAATTTAATTTCTTATGAAACATTGTTCTTATTATATTATAAACTCAATGTTCCTTTTTTGGGGTTTTATTACTACTTATTAAATTTAATATTATTTGTTTTATTATTTTGAAAGGTAGTACTTAGAATGTACGAAGCAGAATCAGTATGGAAAATATGTATTACTTTAAGTGTTAAATTTAGGGGAAAGATAAAAAGTTGTCATACTTCAACCAATGTTTACAGGAGAAATATTGTATTAGAAAGAAAGGATAAATAGATGATTGAAAGAGAATGGACAAAAGATGCAAGTATAATTATTTAATTTGAGATGAAATAAATAAATTAGAATTAAAAGAGTGAATAGAAGAGAGAAAATATATAGAAAATATAGAATGTTAAATAAGATATGAAATAGTATATTAAGTGAGCATGAATTTGATTTATGTCTGTGCAAAAAGATTGAACCTGAAGTAAGCCGCTTTCCAAAAAGAAGTTTTATGTATTTATGTTTTGTGTAATGTTTGTCTATGTTTGAAAGGATGTTGGAAGAGAACTAATGAAACTATATATAATGAATATATATAATTTAAGGCAAAAGAAATACAATTAAATAGAAGGAAAGGGAATAATAAAGAGAAGTTGGGAAAAGATATGAAGTTGAACAGATAAGATGAATATACATTTTAAATTGTGTTTGTATAGAAATGTGACAATAAGATGTTTTATTTGTTTTTTTAGAAAGGATACTTTATGTTACTACATCCTATGTTTTGTTTGTTTGTGTAAAAGAAATTAATAAAATTTGTCTAAAAAACAAACAAACTACTATATACAGTATAAGCAACCAGCAAGATTATTTCCCCATGTCCTAATGATGTTACCTACAGTAGCTTGGTAATGAAACATCTATGGGAAAACAGCGAAACTCGAAAAACATCAAGAACCTAACAGTTTAAACTTGTGTTACATATATTCTCCACTATTAGAAAGACAGAACTGTAGGTTCTGTGGAATGAGTATTAGAATTTAGGACCCATACCTATTTTTTATTAAGTTCTTAGATAATTTATATCAGGAGTTGGATTCAACCGGTGTAACTACCATTCGGTGATTACGTTTTGCATGATAGATAGATAGATAGATAGATAGATAGATAGATAGATAGATAGATAGATAGATAGATAGATAGTTTGTGTGTGTATAGTAAATTGAGTCCAGATGAGATTTGTACTTTGTAGTTCAGCTTTACTGTGTAAAGACCTATATTTTGTGTTTTTTGTGTCTTTAATTTTTTATTTTCTAGTTTCAGAGTGGTAGCTGTGTTCAAAAAAACTACCATATAAATTGACCAGGTTTTTAAGTCAAAAGAAAACACTGGAAAATGAACAACTACTTGTTTTGAAAGATGGTTTCTCATTATTTACAGAACTGGTTTAAATGGAATGGCAAACCTTTCCAAAAAAAAATAGGCCATCCATAAAGTTAACTATCTTTCAAGCCTGCCTGAGGGATCAAGAAACTAGCTACACTGGTTGAATTAGATGCTCTGCATTTATATGTAAATTTTAAAGTCTAGGGGAGAGATTTAATTGTGTTACAAAATTCAGAGATAATCATGATGCTGCCTATCATGGTAATGGAGTTAGATGAGAGAACAGTGCCGAAATGTTTAATTCTATTAAGTGGGGAGACAGTCTGAATTTCTGTAGATGATTAATCTCTTCATTGTAAAGGTATACTCAAATTTTCTATTATAACATAGTTCCAATAATTTTACCTCTTTATCTTTTTGATACGTTATTGGTAGCTTTAAATGAAGGGGAAAACATGTTTTACTAAACAACATTAAATTATATAATTACAGATTGCCCAAGAAAGGCAAAATGTATAATAACTTTTATATGTTGTCCTTTATTTGGAACTTTAAAGCACCATGATCTTACAAAGAAAACTAAACACAATTGTAAAAGCAACTCATACTCACTTACGGTATATTTATCAACTTTAGACTTGAGTCTTCCTAAGTGCTTTGGCCTAATGTAAGTTTGAAAGTTGTGCTGCTCTGCTGCTTCTTAAATCCCATGTCTGTGGAATTTAAATATATAATAATAGTGATTTTTTTGAAAATATAAATTCATATTCTCAGTTTGTAATATTTGGTGTTAAATTTGAAAAGAAAGCTATGAAGCAGCTGATTGCCATATAGGAAATTCTGAAGAGAAAGAAACAAGATACCAGAGGAAGAACACAAGGGCTTTTCTGGAACCAAGAGGACAGGGGCAGTATAAATAATAGAATTGGTACCTTCAGCAACAAATGAAAGAGACATTACATGACAATCTCTTCACCATTTCTTCAGCTGTAGGGGTGATGAATGCCTGATCTTCATTTTAGCTTATATAGATATGAGAAACAGCCATATTTTGTTTCCCTGAATAAGCAGTATAGAGTAGAATAACAGTATGTATGGTCTATAAAGAAAATAGAGTAGTTTGTGTGTGTGTTTCTTATATAGTATATTACGGTGCTTGTGTGTAGTATATGTGTGCACAGTACAATATCTTAATGTATAATATATATGTGTGTGTGTGTGTGTATGTATATGTATAATATGTATGCAGTAGACCATATTATATGCAGTACACCATATTACAGCATATAAATAGTCTAGAGTAACAATATCTATTAAGTTTGCTTTTGATTCACAGAATAGTGAAAAATGAAGACAAGCAAAACAGTAGGGAAGTGAACAGGTAGATGTTCACTGAGAAGGAAGAGGAGGATTCTGCTGCCTTCTTTGTTCATATTGAGAGCCAACAATAAGGCAACACTGCCAGAAGCTATTTGGCACTGTCAGGGCTGGTTTACTCCTTGGCATATCAACATAAAAGAAATATTTATGAATAAATGAAATTGGGCAGTGAACTGGACTTAGTCCATGTGTTCATAGTTCTCTACCCAGTAAGAGAGAGTAGATTAATGTATAAACCACAGCATCTTTACAGACTAATCACTCTATTTCTCTTTTTCTGTCTCACTACATGTCTCTGTTATTTTTACTGTATTGCACGCTTATTTATGAAATTTAAGCACTGCTCGTTTTATAATCCAGGTGACTCTTGGCAGTTTACAAATGCAAACCATAAAATCATTTCAAAAAGACGGAATTAAAAGCAAAATTAAAACAGTGAAAAACAAAAACTGAGTTACAAAGATGAGTTAAAAGGCAGAAGGAATGCTCTCAAGCCACCAACTACCCCACCCCACCCGGGTTGCGTGCCACTCTTCATTTTCTATGCCAATTAGCAGAGCCCGGTCTTCATGTTCTTCCAGAAGGTCAAAACAGTGAGGCAAACTTCACCTCCAGGGGCAAGATATTCCATAGGCAGAAACAGTGGCAGAGAAGGCTCTGTCAATTGAAATTATGCTTGCTGGTGAGGCATAAAATAATTATTAAACAGCTATCAACACCTAATTCGAAGAAGATTGCTGATATACTACTGTATGTTGTTTCTTAACATTTAAATAGTCTTTTAAACAGTGGTAAATAATTTGAGATTGGAAATCCAATTGTAAATTGTTATGGTTACAAGTCAAGACAATTAGATTTCCAGTCCCAATTGCAGTTATAAATTGAACAGCTGCATATGGGTTTGTTTATAGCTCAGGCAAAGCACATGTCCATGAACTCATAATTTTTCTTAAAAATTGAAGACATTGGCTTTTCTTAAATCAAATAGGGTTTTTTTCCCAGTTGTCCCGGATCTATAATCATTATTATATGGATGTAGATTTTTAACTTCAATTGTATCATTCATTGATGACTTATTTTTTATAATTTCATATGCAAGATCATTCTACAGGTCACTTATTAGTCTGCATTTCTATGATTGTTTAATTATGTGGGCTTGTGATTAATTAGAGGAAGTCAGACAATATCATTTATTTCTTAGGAATTAAAATGGATTATGTATCACTGGTTGGAGAATAGGTTTAATTTTATAATTTCCTTAGCATATTTTATGTACTTCTATAAATAACAAAAGATTTATCTTTTTTTAAAAATTTAGACTGAATGCCCAACTCCTTGGAGGAAAAAATCCATAATGGATCCTAGCTCTGATTACCACTTTCTTCATCGTGTTTTGGGGAAAGCTCTACACATCACATTGAAATGTGGCACATTCCGGGGGATATTGCAACATGTGGATTCCAATCAGTGTATCTTTCTAAACAGAGGTATTACTGCTATTTTTAAATTCAGTGTCACATTAGTGTCTTTCAGAACATTTGATTTAATGTTATTTCCTTAGAGATCAAGCTCCAAGCATTTTTCTCTAAAATGTGTTTAAAAGTTCAAATCTGGAAGGGCTATGAAAGTCAAAAATGCTGGACTGAATTCCAACTTCTAGAGACCTGAAATTTGAGAAGGAAATGAATAACTCCAGTGCTCGAAGCTCTTGTGGTGTGAGTTCTTGGCAGATATAGTAGCAAAGCAGCATTCCTCTCTTTTCCTAATAATTTGTTTGCTGTAATTTTTATGAACATTTGATATAGGATGATCAGCAAAAGAATCGTATAAATTATGATCAAGCTTATTCTTCCTAACGAGAGTTAAACTTAAAATATTGAACAATCTTAAACACCACCAAGCTAAAAATTTATCCTTGTTAATCTTTTATAGCAGAACCCATCCAGGATCAACCAAGATATGTTTCATGAACTTCTAGAAATTTGACAGTGCTAAATAGTTTGTGTTATTACTGTCTCCTGGTATTGTCACTAATTCAGCAATACAAATTTCTTTATATTAGCAACATTCCATCATTATAATTCATCTCCATTGATGTTAACACATTAGCAATAATTACTCCTCTGGGTCCATTGAAATTTCCTGCCTGCATCTGAGTGTAATCAACCTGATTACATTCAAATAACTCCTTAATGCTCATTAATACTTCATATTAGAATTCATTTCATTATTTAAAATACAGTTACTTTCAAGTTACACTTTTATAACTCACTATGATAAATTTATTAGTGGCATATTGGAGTGCAAGTGGCTTGAGATTTCTTTCTATATTTCACATATTAATCCTTAGTCAATATGTATCTTGTGCAGGAGTAAGTAAATAAGTCATTATTATGTATGTGTAAGACTGAATTTCAACAGAACCTAAGAAACCAAATACCCTTAGATTTTAAATAGCTGAGAGAGGCTAATATCTGTGTCATCTAAATTACTCAATAATAGCATCTATTGATAAATTCCAAAGTACTAACTTCACACCTTGATAGGAATGAGTCATTACGTATAATATATGTATTAAAAGCTCCTACTGCTGCACTTTGTGTACCAGCTTAAGCTTTTTTTTAATGACAGGATTTAGTTTGCTGGAAAAGAGAAGTGCTATAAAAACTTGATTTTTTTAAATAAGATTGTGTTGCTTTAACAGTGAAAATGTTAGTGAGTTCAAGTAATTTTTTAATGTATACTCTACTTTATAGCTGAACATTCAGTGTATGTATTTTAAAACATGCATAAAATAAATATACAAAACCTAACAAGTCTCAATTTTCAGATTAAAAGAAAATTCTATAATTATATTAAATACATTTTGAAATGTTTTTTAAATAAACCTTATTTTAATGTTTGTATTTTATCTGCCTTTTAGGCTTTTTGGCTTTATTTACAATTATTTTATGCTTAACTATTTTGAGGTTTCTACAGAAAAGTAACGTATACATAAATAGTGAGCTTGAAATAACAGACTGGTTTTTTTTCACCATCAATATAATAATTAAATCATGTGCTTGAAAATAAAATTCAGCAACGTTTTATAGTTTTAGGGCCAGAAGCTATTTTATTAGTAGTCATCTATCTCAGAGGCAAAGAAGATTCCTTCCAGCGTAAACCCTAATAAATGAAGACTATTTATATGGAAGAAGGTGGTCCTTCAGATAACTTGATTTGATGCATATAAGTGGGAATACTTTATTTGGTGTGCAAATTGCAGCCTGCTCTTCTGAAGCTTCAAGCTCATTAAATACCACTGATTCTGGGACAGCAAGGGTAAATACAACGGACCAACATTCAAGTCAAGGCAGTATTTCTGCAGTTTTCTACATGTATTTCTGGATTAATCTATCAATATTTTAAATTGCAGAGAGACTGCAAGTGGTATAAAGAACTTAAAAATATTAAGAGTGGAGTTCAAATTAGTCATTACTATACTTTTAACACGATAAAAGCTAAACACATATACTCACCCTGCAGAATCAAGCCAAAGAACCTACTAATATTATAAAGTAACCAATTGGATCACTTTGGGAATATTTCTTGAATTATTAAACCCTTCTTTAAAAGCAATTTAAATTGGTGATCATTGTCATATGAGATGCAGTGAATTATTTGGATTAACCATGCTTTGCATGAAGATGTGCTACTACCTATTGATCTAGAACAGAGGTGTCAAACTCACATTGTCACGGCAGCATCACGTGACATATCACAATTCCCCCCACCCCCTTTGCTAAACTGAGTGTGGACATGGCCAGCTTGTGATGCATCTGAGCTGCAGACTGCAAGTTTGACAGCCCTGATCTCGAATCTCTTCATATTTAATTTCAATGGATGACCCTCTATTTCATCAGTTGAAAGAGAGAGAAAAACTTGTCTTTGACCTCATTTTCTTCACCTTTGTCTCACCCATACAAGCCTTTGCTCTAAGCTGAAAAGTACATTGTAGCCTCATAATAATTTTAGTTATCCTTTTCTGCATATTGATTCCAAAGCCTTTGTAATGTATTTTTATAATGTATTTTTATAATATGTATAATATTTTAGACTTGATGTGTAAAAGATTGCTAGCGAAGAAGACAGCTTTATCAAAAGTAACATTAGTGTATATTTAATTAATTAAAGAATAGAAGTTCATGGGAGGGAACTTACTATTTCTGAATAAATTATAACTATTAGTATTTAAAGAGGAAATAACTATTTCTGAATATTCTCGCCTCCTAATACATTATATTACAGTATTCAAAGATATTTTATTCTTCTTAGAATTGGTTTATTCTAACCAATTTAGAATTGGTTCTAAATTTTAGTATTAAACTGAACTTTTAGTTTATCTAAACATAATAATTTTTTATTTTTATTTATTTATTTTGTCAAATGCTTACAATATAATAGAAATAAGAATAAATATAAGTTTAAATATAAGAAATAGGAACTAATCATTGGGGACAATAGGACAGGGATGGTAGGCATGATTGTGTGCTTATGCACGCCCCTTACAGACCACTTAGGAATGGGGTGAGGTCAATAGAGGTTAGTTTGAGGGTAAAGGAGTAGGGGTTTGAGCAGGTGACAACAGAATCAGGTAGTGAGTTACAGACATTGATCACTCTGTTGCTGAAATCATACTTCCTGCAATCAAGTTTGGAGTGGTTTACATTAAGTTTATATCTGTTGTGTGCTCTTGTGTTGTTGTGTTTAAAGCTGAAATATTCATTAACTGATAAGACATTGTAATATATGATTTTATGTACTATGCTTAAGTCCAATCTTAGCCAGTTTAATTCAAGGTTTTCTAAGCCTAGAATCGCAAGTCTGGTGGTATAGGGTATTCTGTTGTGAACAGAGGAATGTAGTACTCTTCTGGTAAAATACTTCTGGACTCGATCAGTTGTATTTATGTCTGATATACAGTGTGGATTTCAGACAGCAGAGCTGTATTCAAGTATTGGTCTAGCAAAGGTTTTGAATGCCCTAGTGTGCAAATCAGTATTACCAGAGGAGAAGCTTCATAAAATTAGACTTACAACTCTTAAAGCCTTTTTGGCAATACTGTTGCAGTGAGCTTTGGCGCTTAGGTCATTCAATATGAGAACTCCAAGTCCTTGAGAATGAGGGTCATCAACAAGGTTGTATCCGCCTAGCTTGTATTTGGTGTATTGATTTTTTTTACCAATGTGTAGGACAGAGCATGTGTTGGTCAAGATTTGGACTTGCCAACTGTTAGACCATTCAGACACATAATCAAGGTTGTATTGAAGGATGGTAGCATTGTTGGTGGTGTTGAATAGTTTTACATTATCAGTGAAGAGGATGCAGTTGCATATAAAGTGATCACAAAGGTCATTTATATAGAGTGTAAAGAGTGTGGGTCCTAGAACGCTCCCTTGGGGGACACCACTGTTAACTGGTGCAGGGTTTTTGATAGGGCATTTCCTATTTTTACTATTTGTTGCCTGTTTGACAGGAAGGCAGTAATCTGCTTGTGAAGGGATCTGGAAATGCCGTAAGTATTTAATTTTAATAGTAGTTTGTCACATACAAAACAGCAGTTTGCCATGTCAAAGGCTTTGCAGAAGTCTTATGTAAATTACATCTATTGGTTTGCCCTGGTCAAGTAGTGTAGTCCATATGTTTTTGCAGTGTAGAAGTTGCAAATTGCAGGACAGTTTCTTTCTGAAATGAATTGTTTATTGAAGAGTAAGTTGTTTGACTCTAGGTGGAAGGTTATGCATTGATTAATAATTGATTCCATAACTTTGCATGTGACACAACACAATGAAATTGGTCTGTAGTTTTCAACCAGGCAGGGGTCACCTTTTTTGAAGATAGGGATGACCGTTGCTAAAGACCATAGGCTTGGTAAGGAGCTGGTTCTGAATGATATCTCATATATTATGCTTAGGGGTTCTGCTATGGTAGTGGAGAGCTTTTTTAAGAAGTATACACATAAGCCATCAGGGCCAATAGATAAGGATGGTTTTAGGTGATGTAGTGCATTTTCTATGTTATTTTCAGTAAAGTCAATTTGTAAATCACTGCAGTTAGTTGTCGTATGATTAGGAAATGTGGGACATGAGCCATTACTGTGTACAAAGACTGAACTGAAGAACGTGTTGAAGAGGTTTGCCTTAACAGCTTCATCGCTATAGTCTTTCCCATTAGGTCCTTTTAGGGGTGGGATGGTTTTTGAGTCTTTAAGTTTGGTGTTTACAAAGTTATAGAAGGCACGGGTGGATTTTGTGCATAGAAGATTTTCCTCTTGCTTGCAGTAGTGATTGGTGCATTCTGCCTTTATCTGTTGGCATAAGGTGTTGTATCGGTTTCTAAAGTTAGCTACGTATTTAGTTTTGTTTTTACGCTATAAGGATTTTTTTTAGATTGAAGTTTTCCTATCCTTTTGGGTAAATTATTTTTTTGTTTTGGGGGGTTACTAATGGAACATATAGTTTAATGACTCTTTTGAGTTCAAGCAAGAACACTTTATAATGCTTATTCTGTTTGTTTCTTTCAGTTAAGAATTTGGAAAATGGCAGAAATGTACCTGGAATAAAGAGGTTCTTTGGCTATGAAATTGTTAATGGTGAGAATATTTTATAAATACATTCAGAAAATATTTGATATAATGTTAACTGATATTTTCACGACTTCATATTAGTTTGGAGTATTTTTTTAATCTCAGATTTTCAGCTGACCATATATTCTTTGATACTGACTGAAGTATGAAAGATGTTTTAAATATATTTTTGAATATATTTTCATTAGATCTTTGATTTTATCTTAAGCCTTAGAAAACAACGGTGAAATGAATTACTATAAAACTAGTTATCAAGAAATATTACAATTCTATTGCTTTGATTTTATTGAATTGGTTTCTATTTATAAATCAATTACATATAAAATATTTTGGATCCATTGGAATCTATAGATACAATCATTCAGTCTTCACAAAATGCTTTGTAAGTCTATAGTAAGGTCTGTTGGGTAAATTCCGATATTTTACACACATTATTTCTAAAGTTTATTGAGACCCAGTTAATCTTCATTTCCTTTAAAGCAGAATGTTCCGAGATTTGAAAGCTAACCTATCAAACAAAGCAATTAGGTCTAATACAATGCATGCTAAGGGCATTTTCATATGAGGATTTTGTATCAGCATTCCCAACCAGTATTGAAAACCTAAGTGGTTGGTGCTCTTTTCACAATTAACTGCATTGTAGGCAGTCCTCCACTTGCAATTATAATTGAGCCCCACATTTCTGTTGCTAAGCAAAGGAGTTGTTAGGTGAGTTTCACCCCATTTTATAACTTTTCTCACCATGGTTGTTAAGCAAAACATTGCAGTTGTAAAGTGAATCTGGCTTCTTCATTGACTTTGCTTGTCAGAAGGTGGCAAAAGGTGATCCCATGACCCCGGGATACTGCAACTGTCATAAATATGAGTCAGTTGCCAAGCGCCTGAAGGTCCCTTCCAATCCTGGTGTTCTATGTTCCATGTTCTAATTATGGATCATAATAGTAGTAGTGAGAAGTGTCTTAAATCAGGGGTCTCCAACCTTGGCTACTTTAATACTGGAGGACTTCCAGTATTCCCAGAATTCCCAACTCCCAGAATTCCCCAGCCAAGGTTGGAGACCCCTGTCCTAAATTGAGCTAGAAGTCACTGGGAGTTTTTTCTTCACATTTTTAATCTACTGGTATCTGTGCTAATAAAAGGAAAGCCAGTTTATTTGGAAAAATATTTGGAACTGTATATTATTTGAATATATAAGCTGCATGAAAGTGCTCTGAAAATTGTAAATTATCTGCACGTAGTATTTCTGAATCATGCCTGCTTGTTCTCTTCCCTCCCTGCTATTTCTAATTTATCTCAAAACCTTGAAAAGTTCCAAGGTACTCTTCTGAACTTGCCATATTTAAGAAGATCTTAAACAACAAGCTGCTATTGCAAATATATGAACGGTGTAATATGAGCTTCTTTGAGAACAAAGCCAAAATGGTTTTAGGAGAGTTAATTTAGAATAAATCATTGCAGCCTATATTCTATTTGCATAAAGCTTGCATGCAAAATTATGTAATCCTGTTGTGGTATGTAACATGCACATTTCACAGCTTGTTGCTATTTGATTAAAACTATATTCTATCATGCTCTAATCCTGGCAGGTTTACTGTGTCGGTATTCACTTTTAACTTATCTCATCTGGTTATTAAGTACAGTTCCTGGTTGAACTTTAAATCTTTAATAGGAACTGTTGATCTATGTTTCAGTGGAATTGCTCGATGACCTAGAACAACCTGCTGCAGAAAGAAATTTCACTCCTACTGAATCCAGGTACACATGAGGTTTTCGTTATGAGAAATTACTGAGATCCTGGGTATTAGAAAAAGCTATTCTCAGTGGAAAGTCTTATTTGTATACTAGTGATGTATCAAACCCAAGTGGACCAGGAACATAAAGAAATTAAGGCTGCCCACTATTATTTAATTATGTGCATGTGTATATACAGTATATATAGTATGTGTAGCTATAATACATAATATAGCCTTCTCCAAATTAGTGTTCAAGTTCTACACCATTATTTCCGGCCAAAGTAATGCTGTTATATACCATCATACTACCGGTATAAATATGTATTTGTCATGAACCTATTTTACTTTAATATCAATAAGATAAGGATGACTGTGCATATTGTTCTGCTTTCAAGGTCCTTACTCCAAAATTATGTAAATTATTGGCTAAGAAGTCAGACAATTTCCTAGTGTCCTATTTTAGATCTCATCTCCTCCATGTCCTTGTCAGAAATAATAAATTATAATGAAATTAGCTGAAGTAGAGATTCTGCCTCTAGACTCAGACATTGGGCTAAGTCATGTTTTGCTCAATCATTATTGAATCCACAAGTGTTGGATGAAGACTCCCATTTTACTGTGGGGTCCTTGGTGCTCTCTCAGCTTTGTTGTTTTCTTGCAGACATTTCATTACCCAGCTCAGTAACATCATCAGTGCTAGAGAGGAGTAGCATTTGCTCCCTTCTTATATACTAGTGGCTTACCCTGTCAGCGTTGGTGGGAGTGTTCTTGGTGGTTCCTTGATTAGGCTGTTGTTTACTGGTAGCTCCCACCAAGGAAGAACAACAGAAATCAAGGCATAACAAGAAGGTCTTCGCTTTGCAGGATAGTACTATAAAACCTTATAATAAGTAGTCCTCGACTAATCACTGTTCATTTAGCAACTGTTTGAAATTACAATAGCTAATGAACAGTCATCATTTTAGGACTATCGCAGCATTCCCAAGGTCACTTGATCAAAATTCAGGCAGTTGGCACGTATTTACAACACTTGCAATTGTGATTGCCATTTATGGCCTTCCTAGCCAGCTTCTGACATGCAAAGTCTGGGAAGATTTGTTTAATGACTGCATGATTTCCTTAACAATTGCAGTGATTTACTTAACAACAGTGGCAAAAAAGGTTGTATAGTCAGGTGCAGTTCACTTAGCAACTGCCTTGTTTAGCAATGGAAATTCTGATCCCAAATGTGGATGTAATTCAAGGACTACCTATAATGAAGTTTATCCATCCACACTGATCTGATAAAAGCAGTTCATTGTGAACTCCTATATTGTAACTTCTATAGGAATATTTGGGATAATTACATATTAACCCTCAGTGCCCAGGAAGGTCAACCCAAGAACGATGGATAATTATTTTGTAAACCAATTCTTACAGATATGAAATTACTTATGATGATGAAATTATTTGTGATAAGCTAAATATTGTCTTACTTGGATGAAAATGAGGCAACAGTTGATACAAGTCTTTAGTAGCTTTCTAAAAAAAACACAAGAGGATGGGAGCCAATCTAACATTGGAAGCAGTGCTGTTCCAGAGAAGGAGGGGGAATTTTTCAAATGATGGTTGCATTGAAAGTGCCATTTACTTCCCAAATTTTATCTTTTTTTAAATTTTGTAAAATATAAATAAGAAAATTGTGGGGCATTTATTTCACATTCCTTTGTCTTTGGGACAAAGTCTATACACGTACTGAGATTGAATTCCTTAGATCTAACTGTATTTAGATCAGAATTAGATCTGCTCCATTACCCACTAGCCATGCCTCAGTGGCTGCCTTATTTGATGCATTAAAGTTCTTTCTTATCATAATCTTTATGATTGAACTTGCCTTTGGTAATGCATTCAGCTAAAGCTGAAACCCTTTTTTTTCTTTTGAATGATATTTGAGTAACTAGCTGATAAAGCAAGATTTAAAGAACAGTTAGCATCTGTAGCCAAAAGCATATTTGACAAAAAAAACTTCATAACTGTATATAAAACAGTTTTGTTTGGGTAGGCTAAAGTGTAACCAGCATCCTGTCAACAATTTTACTTTTATTAAACAAATTCAAATAATATCTTCTACAGGGAATCTCCACTTACTAAGTTGTCTGAAATCAGCCAAGGATCACTGCTGGATCAAAGCATCCATAAAGCTAATCTTGTTTCCCCAGTGAGCCAGCAACTCTGTTTGGGTAATGTTAAGTATAAGTTTTCTGATAATTATCAAACATTCACTTCAGTACTTAATTTGTAAGTCATTTATGTCCTTCACAATGCATGAACATCCACGGAATGGGGTGGCAAACCAGTGGTGGGATTCAAATATTTTTACTAACGGTTCTGTGGGCATGGCTTGAGGTGGGTGTGACAGGGGAAGGATACTGTAAAATCTCCAGTCAGAGGTGGTATTTGCTGGTTCTCTGAACTACTCAAAATTTCTGCTACCGGTTCTCCAGAACTGGTCAGAACCTGCTGAATACCACCACTGTGGCAAATGATAAAATGTGTGTGATGACAATGGCATGCTAATATAGAGGTACAAATATGTAATGGCAGCATTTGTCTGAGGACATTATCATAGTTCACTGAAGAGATTGTTGATACCACTTCTACTATCATCTTAGTGTTTAGATACCTCTAGAACCATCCAAGAGCACATATTGCAATGTGCTCTACATGGGCCTGCCCTTTAAGAGCATCTGGAAGCTCCAGCTGGTGCAAAATGCATGGTTTGGTGCAGACCCCAGTGTACAAATATATCACCTCTCTGTGGAGATGCATTGGTTGCTGATTTGCTTCTGGGTACAGTTCAAGGTGCTGGTTGTCATCTTTAAAGCCCTTCATGACTTGGGCCCATCTAAGAGGGACCATCTCTTGATGGTTACATCTACCCGACCCATCAGAGTGGGGAGGCAGGGAATGTTGCAGGTCCCATCCCCAAGGAGATACATCTGGTGGGACCCAGAACAAGGGCCTTCTCCATGGTGGCTCCCTCTCTCTAGTATAACATTTCCCCAGAGATTAGAACAGCCCCCATTCTAATATTCTTCTGGAAAGCACTGAAGACTTGGATCTGCCAGCGGGCCTGGGGAACCCAGAGTGGAATGGAGCCCATTAAATGGCTCGTGTGATCTGCTGTCACCAGGGTGTGGGGTGGGAGTTGGGAAGTGATTTTGTTATATTGTACTATATTAATTTATTTGATTCTGTTTGTTAGTTTTTATTGTTTTAAATGTGGTTTTATATTCTGTAAGCTGCCTTGAGTCGCCATGGGCGAATAGGCAGCAATATAAATTCAATAAATAAATAAATATTACTGAAATTTGGCGGCAAACCTCTATATAACAAAAAGCAAGTTTTCCTCACATTTGTCAGGAAGAAACAGTTGTATTAAGTTTTAAATGGACTAAAATGTCTCAACAGGTAGCAACATCTAATCAACCCTGGCTGATCTTGGAAAAAACTTACTATCAGGTTTTATTCCAACCATTACTTAAGAACTTGTGGGTGGAGATTCAAGGACACAGCTGTTTGATTAGCTAATTGTATTACAAATATTAGAAAAGTAGATATTGGAAAAGAAAGCTAGCAATGGATAACTATAAGCCTACAGCCATTTGGCACCCTCTTTTTTTTTCCCCAGTTGGTTCCTACGTTAAAATCTTATATCTCTTTTTATTTCCCTAAGTGCTGCTATGGACCAGAGTGAGACCTGGTTGATTTTCAGTTGAAGAAACAATTGATGTTTGTGAACTATTATGGTAAAAGGCCGATGAAGTCTAAGACTCTTTGAATCTGACTTGGTCCTCACAAATAGGTTGGCTTAAACCTGGTCTCATTTGATGAAAGAGCACATGGAAATCCCAAGGCTACAGGGCCGATGGGGAAGCGGAAAAAGGGAAGAGTAAACCATTTTTGAATTTCCACCGAAAACACCCCATTGAAAAGAGTATATAGCCACCAAATGTTGATTTCGACTCAGGGAAGTCTTTACTTTTACTTTAGGTTTATTATGCCTAGAAAAAATTCACCAAAACTAGAAAAAGCAGAAAAATGGAGGTACAGCATCTAATTGGCACATATTTGCGCTCTTTTTTCCTAGTCATATTATAAATATGATCTTTCATGATCTTTTGAAGTTCAACTTCCTTTTTCTTCAACAGACATACATTGCATTCACATATTTCTAAAAGGCATATTGGGTTTTCCATTTTTTGAAATACCTGATTTATTTACGCATATGCATATATTTACATAGATACATATGCTGCAATAATGTGCTCGGATTCCCAGGAGTTTACAATAATAAAGCAATATTTAAACTAAAACAGCATTACCTTAATAATACAATACTATCTCAATGCTGATAATACATATGTATCATTCCTCAAATACTCGCTGAAAAACTCCATTTTTACTAGCTTCTAGAAGGCTATTGGGACTGTTGCTGAACTGACCTCAGGATGGAAGCTGTTTGTAACATAGGGGCTGCAGCAGAAAAACAGCATGAGGTCATACTGTCTTATTTTGTTAGAGAGAATACACTATGTGAATTGATCTCCCATATTTGGAATGTCTGAATATTATAACATAGAACTAATACCTTTGCTAAGGCATGCTTTATTGTAAGCTTTATCATAGGGTGGATTTTGATGGCGGAAACAGAAGTGGTTCTTTGCTTATCTTGGGCTCTTGAACTAACATGGCATGAAGCCAGGTTATTTGAGGAATCACTTCTCCCCAGTGATATCTCTCTAGCCAGTCAGGTGAGCAGAAGAGGCTTGTTGAAGGTTCTGTCATCTGCTGAGACCCAGGAGGTAGGCCTTTCTGCTACTGCACCCTGTCTATGGAACAGCATTCCTATCAAAGTCAGGTTGATGATTATTCCAGGAGAGCCAGAAAACCTGTTTTGTCTTATGATCCCAGGGATCAGAGAGTGGTGCGGAGCTCATAAAATGGCTATATTGTTCTTGAGTATCTATCTTCTTCTGGTGACTTCCTCTAAGACTTTGCATTCTTAACTAGACAATCCGTGATCTATTGGGTTATCCTTTCAGAAATATTTCTTACCCAAATAAAGAAGTAAAATGACAAAGAGTGGGCACAAAATCAATGGGAAGAGAAGTGTCACCCCCCCAAAACAAAGAGCGTTGACTCTTCCTTACTTTAGTTTTCTTTACTGTTCCACACCTGTAAATAGAAACATGCAAAACTGAAGCACCCTACTTTCTAAATCAAGCATAACCTCTGATAACTGTTAGGGAGGGACTATCCTCATCTACTTGGTCTCATACAAACTGTCTGAATTGAATTGCTGCTTATTCCTCTGTAATGTACCTCCTCTCCCCTGGAAATCCTGCCCACAACATACTACCATGGGGTGACTTCTGGCTTCCCCATTGATTTTGTTTCTGGGAAGGCTGGCAGGGATCATCAAAAATCATGATCACAATGACCTCAGACTTGGTTTGAAGATGCTTGAAATTTTAATTACATGGAAGTAATAAGCCCTGGATTTTGTACATATTGTATAAGTTAATGGGCTTGAGTCCCAGATTTTGTATGCATTCTGTAAATTAGTGGATCTGAGTTACCTGGATTCAGATTTCTGCACAATGATGCCCAGTTTGGGCTTATTGAAGATTGCAAACAAACAGTGTTTTAGTAGTATATATGTTTTTATTGTTTGTATGGGTTTTTTTTGTTTGGTAATGTTTATGTTTTAATTGTAAACTTCTTAGAGTCATGAATGTGAGATGGGCAACTATATAAATTGAATATATAAATACACACCTCAAATATTAATTTCATATTAGCATAAAATATATCCGAGCAAAAGTGGACATTGATTTTCAACTACCCTGGCTTCTACTGTATGCTATTAAGTATACAGTATTAAGTATAGGATTAGAACCTAAAATAGTATTTTTTAAAAACATGGAAAAAGCAAATATATATTTTAATGCTGTTTATAAGCATAGGACTCCATTTGTAACTGAAGAGAAAAATAGGGCATGTTCCTGTACAACCAACCATAATAGTTCAAATAACAAAACATATATTTATTAAAATCGTTCATAGATACATGGATTGAATAATAGAGCCAAACGGAATTTTCGTGTACAAAAACTGTATATTAGGAGTTATTTATTTATTTAGCATATGATGAGAACATGACAAAAGTGAAGTAAATATATACCACACAATCCACTAAATTATATACAAAACTAATATGGGGAAATGGCAGTGGCCTCATAACTTTGCGTTGTCCTGGTGAATAAGGAGGGCCTTGTTCAGCATCTTTGACCAGAGCCAAAGGAGAGCTTGTTGTCTTCTAATGCAGGGCCGGTATGATATTGCTAAGTATTGGTAACTAGTGCACAGGAGTGGAATGCAGCATGCCAGAGATGATACACATTGTCTGGTGGAATTCGACATCAACCATTTGGGGGGTAGGTGATGTTAAGCCACACGCTAGCACAATATTCAACTGTTGGAATAAAACAAATCAATATTAAGAATGAGGTTCAACTTGAGGGATTCTTTGGATTCTTTATCTTGTTAAGCGGCTAGCAAAATATCGCTTATCTGAAATCCAATTGAATAATTTGGTCTTGGAGGCATCTTAAGGGAGGATGCTTTCAAAAAGCGCCTTTACTATGTAAACCAGCTTTATCTCGATTGGTTTGATTTATTAATCTTAGTTTATCTATCTTTGTAAAGGAAGAAACTTCATATATATTTGGAAAGTACTTTAGGAGATTATATAGTGATTACAGGTAAAGTTAACACTTTCAGAGGTTGTTTTAATTTTATTACAGATGAAGATAGCGGGGAAGACATAGAATATATTGTTATTAATCAATTCCAGAAGACATTTGGTTCTGCTGTAAGTAGTTGCTTCTTCTCAAGGGTGTTTTTATTATTTTGCTATATCCCAGGGGGCTTAAACTTGAATAATCCCAAATACCTCAAGAGGATTTGTTCAGGGGCTGCAATAGTGAAGCCCTTTTATATGTAAATTTCTTACATTAAAAAAATCACACATGAAAAAAGCCAATTCCAATTTAAAGTTTTCCACTATAATTAATGGAGAAACATGGTTGTTTATGGTTTTGAATCATATTTGAGCCTAAATATGGTAACCAAATTATTACAGTCCTCTCTCTCTCTTCCAGATCACCTAATCAGGGTCCAAAATTCATATAATCCACTTACTCAGAAAATTGTATTGGGATAGAAATTTTGATTTCTTTTTCGTAAAATGCTTTGGTAGATTTGTCTTGTTGCAGACCAAGAGAAAACTGAAGTGTGCCTTCAGAGATCTAAAATTAAGATCTGATGGAGACGAGGAGGGAGGAAAAAGGAGCTGCCATCTTGCTAGCAGCATAGAGAATAGGAAATTTCTCATTCAGTGTACACATAGGAAGGAAGTGACTGCCAGAAATAGGGCGCAGCTTGCCAGTTTAATCAGGCACTATATATCATTGCCTGACAAGAAACAGTTCGGTTTCTGGGCAGGGCAGGCTAAGAAGCAGCTGAATTCCTAACTTCAGAGTATCATCTCAGCTAAAGCATGGTCTGCTCTATAGTCACCACCCCTCTTTATGGCTTTAAAGTGGAAAGTGTAGCTTTATATCCAGGCAAGGCAAATTGAAGAGTAGTTGCACTCTTGAGTTCTACATTAAGATACTAGTAATGCCCTGATCTGGAGCTTGGTATGCAACTGTCCTTTGGTCAGTCACACTTGAGTGGCAAAATCTGTATTGAACTTCCCTATATTGCAGCTTCTCCATTTCCAGCAGAAGAATCCTTCAGTGGATCAAAGTTTTCTTCCCCACCTAACCCCTCACCTCCAAAAGGTTGTCATATTTGTGGAGCTAAGTTAAGAATAAACCCAGCTGATACAAGATGTCCCTGGGCACTATTTATGGCACACTTTTTAAATGCTTATAGTATATGAGGACCTGTGTGCTCTTTCAGCTTGGTTGTTTTCTTGGAGACATTTTATTATCAAACTAGATAACATTATCAGTGCTAGAAGGGAGTGGAATTTGCCCTAATTTTATATATTAATGGCTTGCCTTGTCAGTGTTGATGGGAGTGGTCTAGACGGTTTCTTGATTAGGCTGTTGTTTACTGTTAGCTGATTCGGTGGTTCCTTGGGGATATTGTTTACTTCTTGATTGTTGGTCTAATGTAAATCTCTCATCTGGATATTGATTGCTGGTGAAGAGGTGTTTTGGTCTTCTTTTTTCTTTTTGGTTGTCTCTTTTGAGTGGGTTGTAGATGTTATTTATCTCTACGTGCCTGTTGATGGGTAATTTGTCCAGGGTGCCAGGCTTTCAGGAATTCTCTAGCATTTTTTGAGTAGGTTTGGTCTAGGATGCTCACAGTTTCCCAGTTGAAATTATGATTGTCTGACCATATGTTGTGAAATGAAGGGGTTTTGATCATGTCTTCTGACTACTAGCTGGTTTTCATGAATGTTATCTATGTACCTGTCTAGAATCTATAGCACTCCCAGACTTATAACCCAAAGTATGGATCTGGTATGTAGATGACATTGTCACACACTGTGCTTATCCAATCTTTTTTAATCTTCCTACATTTAATTATGCAGTTTAACTTTGTATTCAAAAACTAGTTTCCTGTTGTTTTACATGTCTTCCATATCTTGCTATATTTTTTGTTTCCTTATTAGATGATGCACATCAAAAATCAAAGGGTATGTAGTATAGCAGCAGAGGGTGTACATTTGTGCCGGCATGGAAAACTTTCTTGGGTACAAGTAAGAATACACAATATGCCTTACAGTTTGGAATGTAAATGTAAAAAAATATGATAGCTCTCTTATTAACCAATATAGTCTAAGAATAAATATATATCTTTGCCTTTCAGTGTAATTCCTCGTTTTTGCTGTTTTATATTTTGCTGTTTTTATATCTGATGCCCTTCATAGAATTCTCAATTTCTATAGAGAGATGTTTGGGTTGTAATTTGCTTTATTATGGAAGGTGTTAGTTAGAATCAATCCATATCAGATGCATCAATTTAAATAAACAAAAATATTGCCACTTGACGTCTTTAGAATTAAGATAAGTCAAAAATATTGATACTCTAACTATATTCTAGTATTAATATTTGAATTACAGTAAATCCATAATTTTGTTCTTTTCTGTATGTATTTATTATAGGTTGCAACAAAACATCAGGTTTTCTTATTTGATGTTTTTATTTTGGGAGCTCAAGTGTTCAAGAATGGATTACAAATGATACTGGAGGACCAGAATATTTTGAAAGTATGTATCTATGTAAAACAATTATCCAATAACATATAGAGAGGTAACATAAAATCATGTTTTTTAAAAAGCCAGAAAATGTGTTACTTTTATTATATTCCTTGATCAAAATGATCTTGCTTCTTTTTCATATTTCTTAGGTTATCCATGATTGTCGCTGGCTCTCAGATTGTCTTTTTCACCAATATGGAATTGTGCTCTCCAATGTCTTTGATACACAGGTAGCTTGTCAAATACTCTTGTATGTAACCAGGTTTGAAGGGAAGTAGCTTAATATGCTACTCCATAAAGTAATATTTTGGCTGAAATGTATCTGTCCTTCATAATGCATAAAACATTCCATACAACTTAAGTTTCTCAGTCAAGATATTTATTTTATTGCCTTTCTATTTCCTAATAACATATCACTGATTTGCTGAAAAATATTCTTAAATCTACAAAAGCTATTTGTTGGGTTAATATTAAAATGATAATGACAGAAGAATAATCTATATTCAGGTTTCTTTTTGTGAACTATAGAAGTGACTGATTGATCCTCTCACTTTTTCTCCCATAGGTTGCTGATGTATTACGGTTCTCAATGGAAACAGGTGGCTACCTTCCACACAGGATCAGCACCTTACAAGAGTGTTTAATGCGATATTTGAGGCTGCCTGACAAATGTGTTTCTTTTTTGGAAAGCAAAGAGCGAGCAATGGAGGTAAAAATGCTTCTGATGGCATCATGGTGTGAGTTGAAGGAAATCAGATCTCCTTGAAGCCTGTTACCTATTTTATACCTTCTTCAGGTTGTAATAGAAATTATGTTGAAAATAGCATACACTTAATATTTATCCTAAATACTAATCCATGATTTTTCTTTCAATTTGCTATAGAGCTAGATGTTGCAGATAACAAGGTAGAATTTATGTGCGAAATATTTAGTAGCCCTTTCAAATGAAATTTTCTGTTAGACTGTACCTGCAATTCTATTAACAAAGTCGATTTTGAGGAATACCGAAAAAATACTGTTTTATATTTTTTCATATAGGAAGATCCTGAGGTCTGGTTTGTGAGACCCCTTCCACCTGTATTGTTGAATGTATTGGCCCTGGAAACAGTGTATCTCCTCCGTCTCCGTTTGCTGCTGTTTGATGAAATTATGTCTGATTTAACAACATTAGCAGATAGTTACTTGAATGCATTTCGGCAAGGATCTGCAGATCCCCTGGGGAGCATCAAGGTAAGTTCAATCTCAGTTGGGTAGGATCATCTAATTTATTAATGCTATTAGCACTACTAACTACTAAAATACCTTATTGGCACTGAATCCTGCATTAGTGAAGCTTTTTTTAAAAAAAACAACCTTTGCTGTTATTCTGTTTTAAAGAATAGTAGTTACAAAACTTTTTAGTACATATCTTACTTTTTAGGGCATTAGCAAAAGAGAAAGTTCATTAATATTAAATAAAATGTAATAGTAGGTTAAATCAATTAAAAATGGATGCCAAATAATGTTAATATTTAAATATCAAATAAAATTGGAAGTACTAACAAGTAAGTGTTCACCTCATATCAAAATAATAGTAGTATTGGAACAGGAACTCCTGTTTTTAGAATAGAATAGAATTCTTTATTGGCCAAGTGTGAATGGACACACAAGGAATTGTCTCCAGTGCATAAGCTTTCAGAGTACATACAAGCACAAGTGATATCTTAATGTATCTAATGATCAGTGGCTTAATGTTTTTGGGAATATTGGTGAATTTCATATTGAAAATATGCAGTAAATACTCAAGTGTGTACAAAGGATTCAAAACAGGTAGTCTGCAAGCAGCTGCAGCTTTGAGCTTTGCTTATACATGTGTATCCATGCAAACCTCATTTTAATGCTGGGATGGAAAGCCTGGCTGTTTGTGGCCAAACACATGTCAATAATCATGTGTGAAGTTTTTTCAAAGAACAGAGCTGATTTAATGTTTTGAAAATAGGGCTTTAAACAAGCTTTGCCAATTACCTTTGTCAAATACCTTGCACAGCCCTGGTAAAATCTCCTCAAACATAGAAAATATTTTAAACATTCCTTAAAGTAACGAGGGAACTTCTGCATTCAGTGCAAAGTACTGTATTCTTCATATTTACCTCATTCATTGATAAAACATAACACTTCAAAGAAATAATTATAATGAAGTGTTGCTCTCATCTGTTTGTGTTCCTATGTTAATCAGATATCTTCTATGGAGTTACCAGAAGAACTACGACAACTGGCAGATCTTTATAACATCCGAAGAAAAACTGCAGTGCAAAAGTTCCAGCTCAATGAGGAAGGTTTCCTTATCAGAGGAATGGGGGCAATAAGAAGAAAAAAGCTAGAGAATGAACCATATCCTAAAACATACTGTCCAGGTTCTGATAGACAGGGCAGCTATAAAAAATAAGAGATGGATAACCATAATAATTAAAAGCCCATAGTTGGCAATGATGAGATAGGATCTAAAATGGAAAGGGGACATTTCATGTATACTGGCGTTGGAAGAGACTAAAACAAAGGGGAAAATAACCACAAAGAAAGTTCAGTTTTTCTCTAGAAAAAAATTGAGGCAGCTCTTCTTCAGCTCTGAGAAGCTTCTTACATAAGAAGCAAAATATCTTCAAAGAAAAAACAAAACAGAAAGTCCAGTTGCCTTTTGAAAAAAGCACCTTTAGGACAACCATGACCTGGATGACTGAGAATCTCTGTAGATTTAATATTAATCTTTCTTTAATCTGTTCTGTCTAATTTTCAGAAAACATAACATTCTTTTGAGTTTTTTTCCCTTCATTAAAACAATTTGAATGTTCAATGTTAAAATAAACTATTTGTGTAGAATGGATATAGTAATAAAATTTCTTATTTCCAAGGGGAATAATGCAATGGATCTTTATGTTATTGTGTGTGGTCTCTCTTTTAAAAGAGCTGGATCCAATGGTGGAATTCAGCCAGTTCAGGCGAACTGATGATACAAATTCTGGCTGGCCCCTTCCAGGAGTCCCGTCCCCCCCATGCCCCGTTTTGGCTCCCAGGAGTCTACAGGGAAGCCTACTAGGCCTAAAACAGGGCATGAGGGGCCTTCAAGAGAGAAAGTAAGCCTCTGAGGGAGGGAGGGAGGGAGGGAGGAAGAAAAGAGAAAGAAAGAGAAAGAAAGGAAGGAAAGAAAGAAAGAGAAAGAGAGAGAGAGAGAGAGAGAGAGAGAGAAAGAAAGAAAGAAAGAAAGAAAGAAAGAAAGAAAGAAAGAAAGAAAGAAAGAAAGAAAGAAAGAAAGAAAGAAAAAGAAAGAAAGAAAGAGTCAGAGGGAAAGTAAAGTAAATGAGATTGGGAGGGAAGGAAAACGGAGAAGGAAGGACCACAAGCCCTGGCACTAGATGCCGTTTCAGAGGATGCTATGAGACAGCACAGCAATCCAGGGCTGGAAGGGACTTTGGAGGTCATCTAGTCCAACCCCCTGCTCCAGCAGGAGACCTTATATCATCTTGGTTATTTTGGTGCCTCTTAACACAGAGGAGAAATTCCCAGAAATCCCCAGGTATTGCCAACCTCTCCCCACTAGTAAAAAAATAACCTAGAACAAAAACTTCATGCAGTATTAAAAAGAACAGAAAAGGGGGCTGTTGTGTATTGTTTAATGGAATGCTAAGTTGGCAAAATCGACTGCTAAATTGGCCATGCCCACCCAATCACATGATCACAGCCATGCCCACCAAGCCACGCCCACAGAACCAGGAGTAAAAAGTTTTTAAAATTAACACCAATTGGGACCAGCCTTGGAGAAAGGAGCCAAACCGGTGCAAGACTGTGTTGCCCAGCTGCAGACTCCGTAGCCAGCACAAAAGGGTACCAGGGTTGATGGTATCAAAGGCTGCTGAGAGAGGAAAGCAAGGGTGATTTTTATTTTATTTTATTTTAAGTTTTTAAGTTTTATTTGGGTTTTCACACACACAAAATACAGGTAAAACATCTTTTTTGAAAATAGCATGGTCTCGGGTTACACTTCTTTATACAGACACAAACTGAATTTCATGACCATTTTTGTGTTCTATTCCATATCTTATTACTATGTTGCATTTTCTATATAGTTTTTCCCCTCTTTTAATTTTCTCAACTTTGATTATCTCATCTCAATTCAAATCATTATGTTTCTACTATTGTCTGTTCTGTTTCAATTTCATATTATCTTTTCTCATTAAACAAATTTTCTCCTGTAGTTACTAATTGGAATATGACACCTTTATATCTTTTAATTACATCCATTCAACTCTTATTTAATCTTCAATATATACCTTAAGGTTATGACCTTCAATATAATACATAATACATAACTTTCAATCGAATTCTGCTTGGTACATTCTTATAATACACACTATACTCTTTAAAAAAAAAAGAAAGATTGTAAATATATGTAATTCTAAAGCCTCATTCCATTCCAATTCAGTTCTATCATTAATATTCATTAAAGTCTTGACATCTTTAACATTTCTTTTCAATTAAATATTACACTTCCTTGGGGACATGTATAATATTTCCATAATTAATTTTCCCCCTATTTCTCTTCACTTATGTTTTATAAATCATTGAATATTCATTTTATTACATTTATTTATTAACAAACATTCCACTAAAGTACGATAACTATTTTATCCATCATTTTGATCATACATTGTTTCATATTTTCTGAAATTATTTCTATTTCTAATATAACAATACTATCTTATGTACCTTTGCAGAATCCCTTTTTCAATTAGATTTTCACCTATTATCTCTAAATAGGCCCTGTTTCTCTATATCTTGTTTCTGTCCTTTATAACTTCTTTTCCTTTCTTTCTTCCCTCTCCTCCCTCCCCTTTTTACCCCCTTGTCTCTCTACTTCTAATTCTCTCTTCTGCATTTCCCTCTTCCCTCTTTCTAATTTTATACTTATTTTTCAAGCGATTCTTTTTTGGGGTTGTTTTTCCAAATCCTAAACTTTTCATTCTCTTTCCCCCCTTTCCTTTGTTTTTCCCCACATAAAATTACTTATTCATTAAAATGGCTTCTTCTTTGTCCCAATCTTCTTGTTCTGCAGGCATTTCTTGTTGTTTCTCATAGTTCCAAATCTCCATTTCTAAGATTTGAAATACGAAGCCAAAAGAACCTCTCCCTTCTTGTGCATCTTCTTTGTACTTTTTAAGTTCTATTTTCAGTTCTTCTAAAAGTGGTACCATTTTAAACACTTTTAAACAACCACCCAATTGATTTTAGTCATTCAAATGCAGTTACCAAAAATCCAGAAGTCACCAAGTAATCCAAATACTCCCGAGCTGTTTCTTCTTACTTCTTCACTTTCTCTTCCTGGGGTTTTACTATTTTGTTGCCATGTTTTCAGTTAAAACGTATCTTTTAGAAGTCTTGTTGAGATTTTACTGTGAGTTCTTTTTAATTCCAGACAGTCTCCTCCCTTCCAGATCCTGCCCTTTTATTCTTTTTCTCTCCTTTCCTGCTTTCAAAAGCTTTTGAGTATCCAGCAATCTTTATTATCCCTTTGACATTTTATTTTCAGCTTAAATGCCTATTGATGTCAAAGTAGTTTTTTTCTCTCTCAATTTCTTGCTTAAGTTTCTTAGCTGTCAGTATAGGGAAAGGAAGAGGAGAGAAAAAAAAACCAAATCCTTTCCCTTTTCTCTTTCCTTCGCTGCTTAAAAATCTTCTTTGGGAACAGTGTTATTTTTTTTATAGTTTAAATTCCAGGGTACCTTGTTTGTTGCTTTCGCTGTTTGACCTGGTCAACTAAAACTTTCTCTTCTTATCTTCCTCCTGCACATTCTTTCCTGGTCAAGTTCTTCTTTGGGGTGGCCATTTCTGACCACCACTGCAACCGCTTTCGGGAAAGGGAGTAATGGCCAGCTGAGGAGGAGAGATGTGGCTCTCCTCAACCCTGCAGGCAGTCTCCCCCCTCTTCACCACCTCTACAGGGTGGCTTAGCCCTGAAAGCAGCCAGCTCCAGTGGTGAGCACAGATCGAAACCGCGCAGAGACGCCGTTTCGGTCTGTCGCCGAAGCTCAAACCGGAAGGCCTCCGCTATTGAGCTTTTTGATACCTGAAACTAAATGATTTACAGGGTCTAGTAATGAAACACAATGAGCACAATAAAATTATGATACTAAGATGAAAGAAGATTAAAGAAGTACGGGTATAACAACCAGGCTTCGAATTGACAATGAAAATATTGAAGTGAGAGCTAGCTTCTGCCTTTTAAGATCGACTATCAATAGAAATGGAATGAGTAATCAATACTCTATGCTACACTAGTACTTTGCAAAGTAACAATAATGGCATTAGAAAATATATTTGCATGCTGCAGTGTCTTTTGTACAAGGAGTCATGCAGAAAATAGTTCTTACTTGGTTGTTACTTACATGCTAACGTTGGAATTTGAAGAAGCAGGACAAAGATTTGTACACTTTTGAATATTGATTTGTAGAAAACTCTCAAAAATACCAAGGTAGTCAAGAATCCAATGAATCACAGAATAAACCAAATGACTATTCTCACTTGAGGAACAAATATAAAATCTTACATAATATTGTAAGCCACATAGCCATGCATCTGGTGGGACCTAAAAGGGCTGTCTTTATTGTGGCTCCTTCCCTTTGAAACATCATCTCCGTAGAGATTAAACCAGCCTCTACTTTGACATTCTTTTGCAAAGCCCTTAAAGACCTAGTTTGCCAATGAGCCTGGGGAACCCAGAGTGGGATGGAGCCCATCAAGTGGCTTGCTTGATTGCTTATCACCGTGGGTGGGGGTGGGTGGGGGTGTTATTCTTTTTATATTGGGATTTTTATTGTAGCCACCCAAAGTCACTAAGAGTGAATGAGTGGTCATGTCATAATAGCAATAGCACTTAGACTTATATACCACCCCATGTGTTTTATAGCACTCTCAGGGCAGTTTACAATGTCAGCATATTGCCCCCAAGCAATCTGGGTCCTCGTTTTACCAACCTTAGAATGATGGAAGGCTGAGTCAACCTTGAGCTCATCAGGATTGAATGCCAGACTGTGGACAGAGTTAGCCTGCAATACTGCATTCTAACCACTGTGCCACCAGGGCTCCCATAAATTCTCTAAATAAATAAAAATATGTGAGTTGAGCAGCTAAATAAATTAAGTAAATAAAATGACAGCTCAAATTAACATGCTTTGGACGCAAGAACTACATGGAATGAACTACATGGAAGGAAGCACACAGTGGGGTACCACAAGGTTCTGTCTTAGGCCCAGTATCTTCGACATCCTTCATAAACCATTCAGATGAAAAGTTAGAAGGGGAACTCATTAAATTTTCAGGCAATACAAAGCTGACCCTTTTACAGCATAGGTTCAAGATCCAGAAGGATCTTGACACACTTGAACACTAGGCTCTATCCAACAAAATGCAATACAGTGGTGAGAAAAGTAAGGTTTTACATTTAGGCAAGAAAAACCAAATGCACAGGTACAGCACAGGTGGTACCTGAGTCAACAGCAATAATTGAGAGGGAACCCACAACCATGAGCCAGCAATGT